TCTTCTCTTCTATTTTACAACGGTATAGCTCCCAGTTAGTTTTTGTTGAATGAAGTCTAACAGGATTACAGACGTTCATAATAGAAAAAGAAATAGTGGCAATAATCGGGGAGTGATCTGATGAAAGATCATAGCTTGGATTAACATCAGTATACTTGGAATTTAAACCTTTTATTATAAAAAAATCCAGTAAATCCGGCTTCTTTCTTATGTCGGTAGGCCAGTAGGTTGGAGTTCCTGTGGAAAGAGTAGAATAGCATTGTTGATCAAGAACTTCATAAAGTGTTCTTCCCTTTGGATTGATCAGTCTTGATCCCCAAAACGTGTGCTTGCTATTAAAGTCTCCGCCGACAATAAATTTACTTCCAAGCGACCCAAAAAAATCAGAGAATTGTGAAGCGCTAATCTTATGCCGGGGAGGACAATATACTGCAGAAATAGTTAATGGAAAAGAAGAAAGTTGAACTTGGATTGTTGTTGCTTGAAGGAATTCTTTGTCATACTTTTGGAGTTCATAATGAGAAATGTTGGACTTGATCAATACGGCTGAGCCACCGTGTGCTGTACCATCTGGATGACATGTATGATAAATATAGTACTGAGGAATAAATAAGTTGGAGTATTTAGTGAAGTGGGTTTCACTTACTAGTAATATATCAATTTTATTTTCATTAAGGAACACTATCAATTCATTTTTATGCTGTAAAAGCCCATTTGCATTCCATAATCCTAATCTTAGAAATTTGAACATTATTTAGGTTTATTTATAAGCGTGGATAACATGTTTATCATCATTGTGTTTTGCTGCATGAGCTGATGGAACATACTTTTGAACTCATTCAAAAAATGGAAGAGACTTGAATTAATACTTTCTGAAATTTCTGATTTACTAGATTTGATTGCTTGAGCATATGACATATGTTCTGAATTAAAAAGATTTTCATTATGATGATTGAAAGTAGAATGTTTTGCATAATTTGGATGATTATTCGAATAATTTTGATTAGTCGCACTATTGCTATTGGTGTTTATTTTAGGTTTACTGTTCAAGAGGTTTTTATAAGTTAGGCAACCCCTATAATTTGCAGTATGGGACTCTTCACAATTAGTGCAAAATGCAGGTAATTCTTTTGATTTTGTACATTTTTTACTCTCATGTTGATCACCACATTTTACACACCTAAATGGCCGGTTGCAGTAAGATTTTGTATGACCATACATTTGGCATCTACTGCACTGTGCTATTTCTGATGATCTCATTGGAGGTTCAAAATGCACAATTTGATTTAGGATTTTATTTAATTTGAAGATATCGGAGTTATTGCTGCTGGGCTCTAAATCAACATAAAACATGTTGAGTGGTAATTTACTTCTAAAGTGAATAACATTTGTTATATTCCTAACTTTATGCCCAAAAGTTTCAATTGCTGTTTTTAGTTCTGTAATATCGGTTGAGTAATGCATATATTTCATGACCACTCTGTATGCTCTTTCGCTGCTAATCTGATAGGTATGAAAAACTGCTTTACGACCTCGGAGATATTTAACGAGGTTTTTATAATCATCAACAGAAGAAACAATAAATTTGATTATATCATTAGGAAATGTTTTAGTGGTAAAATTTTTGATATTTAGAATAGTTTTGATTTCATCAACCATACCTCGGAAATCAACCACACCGTAAATAAAAACTGGTGGTGGCAAATTTTTTTTTTGATATTTCTGAAACAGCAATAGGCTCTTTGTTTGTTAACACGTTGAATCTATTTGTTAGTTGAATTGGCTGATCTACTTGTCGGTTTGGACGTTTCCTTTTAGGACTATCAACAACTTGCCAAGGAATGGAATTATAATAAGTTGAGGGCTCGTTGCAGGATTCCATTTGTTCTTCATTCATGTTGTTATTGCATATTTTAGGATTTACGAAATTACTTGCTGGCTGTGACTCATGTAAAAGATGTTCACTTTCGGGACTGCAGTTAAGCACTTTATCAACTTCAACTAACGGAATTGGTGGATTATATGGTTCATTTTGCATAATTATTAATTATGCCTTAATTAACAGTTTTTAAATTATATATTCAATGAACGAAAATAAATGTACCCTTACGGGTACATTTATTTGATTATTATATAACACTTCACTATTAAATTCAATTTATATTTCACTTTGGATGATAACAATGTTTGTTTACACTAACGTGAGGCACAGTATACCTGGCCGAAGGTTCGAAGCGAACTGAGGTCAACTGATAAGAAATAAATATTGAATATTTATTGATCCGATGCTACCTGTACGGCAGTTGGTTTCGAACTGACGTTTATACAATCTGACTGGAAGTTCTATCCACTTTCTATAGAAAAAATGGTATAATATAATTCAAGTTTTTTTGGTCTTTTGATTTATAGTCTTTACAAACTCCAAATAATCGAATACTGATTATGTTTCATGTTTATAATATTTTTTTAAAATTCTGGATTTTGCGTATAACTGTAAATAATACTGTCATGGACTCGCTTTTATATTTAATACTTTTTACTAATAATTATAACATATATAGGAAAGGGTATTTATGTCATTTTATATCTGTGTGTGGGTGCTCACCCACGAATTCCTAGGAATACTACTGTCAAATGTATAAGCTCACAACTGTCAAGACTTCATCATTGTAGAAATGTGTTTTTTCATAAATAACATAGGCGGAGTAACTTGGGACGGCTAGGTGACAAACAGCTTCAATGTCTTATTTTAATTTTAAAGGTATTTCACAAAATATTTACATTATTCAACTAATGCAGAATATAAATTTTATGTTTTTTTTATACAGATAACACTGTAAATATTCTTGATCTAGTATTTTGTCAGAAATATTGACCAGCAGATTTGAAATAACAATTTATATAATTTGCATTTTATAAAATTGGTTTATTTAACTTAATTTACTTTTTTTCTATTTTTTATTTTTTACACCTTTGCCAGGGTTATCGTACAGTTGGTCCTTTTCACTTCACCCAGGTGGTTATATAAAAAAAAACTGTTGAATCTCACTTAAAATAAATATTACAGTTTATAAAACAATTGAAAAACGTAGAGTTTAAATCTATATTAAGATCTCGTAAACTAAATCGCAGTGCTCGCAACCGACAAAACTAACAACGATAAAAAATACTTTTGTTATGAATTTTCAAAGATTACCATTAATCTACCGATAGCAACATCGTAAGAATTAAGGTGATGACTGGTTATACATTTTTCCCCTACTTTCAAATATTGTTGTTGAACAATTCTTAACTTTACTGATTTTTGAGATATCGGTTTTTATTAACCACGGACCTTCATTATTCCCATGAATTTTTCCATCCTTCGATAAATTTATAGCCAGTTTATTCTTCAAAATTAGTGCAAAACTAGTGGTGTATGGCATCGTGTCTTGAGGCAAATTGTTGGAACTTTCCGTACCGTAACGAAATGTTCGGGGAATATTAAATGTTTTCAAATAGATTATTATAAATATTGTAACATTGTCTAATATTTATAAGAATTATATAAACACAATTGCAAAGTTGAAATTCATTTGTTTAAACTATATTAGAAATTTAGTCAGAATTAAAATTAAAATCGGAATTATTTTCGATATACAAAAAAAATTGAAACAATTTTTTTCCAAAAGCAATTATTTCGTTAAAACAAGCAGAAAATTCTTTGGATCATTCAAATCGGATGAAAACTCGATTTCTATTTTCTGCACTCTTTGCTCCGTATCTCCGTAACGGCTGGACCTGCCTAAAACTAATCAGCATATCTCCCTACCCCTACCAATAGGAATCGAATGTTTTTTGAACTATGCACATCGGTCAATCCGCGCGCCCGAAAACGTGGACAAAAAAATGCGGACATACAAAACACACACACACACACACATCCATTTTTTTTAGGTATGCCAAAATGTTCAAAAACATTCAAAACGTGAAGGAATGCAAAAATTTTCATTTTCTATTTTCGGTTCATTACTATAACTACCCTAACGGGAAGTTAATGGCCAATAGGTGAAAAATTGTGTTTAATCAGGATAGACCAGAGCACACACATCGATAGGGACTCCTCAGAAGCTCCGGTGGCGGGAGATTTTTATGCATCTATCTCATAGTTTGGAGTTTACACCAAAGGATTACCATCTGTTTCTGTCTATGGTGGTCAGTTTTGCTGATGAAAAATTTAAGTTTGGGAGTTTTATTGTCAAACTAGTGGGGTGTATAGCATCGTGCCTAAAGGCAAATTGCTGGAACTTTCCGTACCGTAACGAAATGTTCGAGAAATACTGAATGTTTTCAAATAGATTATTATAAATATTGTAATATTGTTTAATATTTATAAGAATTATATAAACTGAATTGCAAAGTTGAAATTATTTGTTTAAAGTATATTACAACTATTGTCAGAATTAAAAATAAAATCTGAATTATTTTCGATATACAAAAAAAAAATGTTCTTGAAAAAAAATTAGATTTCTTTTTACCTAATAGGTTGGTGGGGCAAGAAGGACCAACTGTATCTTTACCTTAGCAAAGACGTAAAAAATAAAAAAAGTAAATAAAAATTTAATTTTACTTAAAAGACGATTTTACAAAAAATAATTTCAATTGATAGTTACTCCAACCCTGTTCAAAATGCACCCATAAGTTTTTTATTTTGTATTAGTAGAATATTATAGCTACCATATCGCAAAATCTCTTTAAAATAAGAAATAAAACATTGGATCTGTTTGCCCTCTGGCTGTAAAATTTTCATATTACTCCATAGGCGGGTTAAAACGGGACCTTATTGTGTAAACATATTTGTTTTATCATATATGAAATATATATGAAAAATATATTCATTTTAAACATATTGAAAAAAAAATTAATAAATTCGAAAGATAGTAGTTATGAAAATATTATTCAGAACAATAAAAATAAAAATTATATTTGCTGAATTGCATGTACAATTTCTCTTGTTTTAGGTGGCGTGCCCGATTTGCAACAGAGTATCGGGCATAGGTATCAAGTTGGATTTAACGGATGCATATCAGAGCTTATATTGGGAGGACAGTTTGAAATATCTTTAAAACGAGGTTTATCACAAAACGTGGAATCCTGCGCTACTTAAAACAGGCTATTACGAAGATTTTAAAGTAAATGCCTATTTTTAGAGTGTTTTGTGCGTGTAAGGATTTTATTTTGTTTAATGTGAGTGCAGTGACTATTAGTAATCTAAACCTTATAAATTAAGACTGAAATTCATTAAATTATTGAAGCAGCGCATTGCAAAAATAAATACCATATATATATATATATGTACAGAGAGCAGATAATTCATTGATACTAAGAATTTATTACAAGGTTATAAATTATTATTAATTAAGAGTAGTAAAAATTCTAAATAAATTCTTGACCGGCAGTACACATCTAGATCATTTGTCAAGAAAGTACTCGCAACTATTTATATATTTGTAATTATTGGATTCATAGAGTATTCAAACATGTAATGTGTACCAAATAATAAGTATATAAGTAATATAGAATATACAATTAAATTAATTACAGCGCGTACACATTTATTGCAGATAAAATTGTAGGTTACTTAATGTATGTCAAAACTTTTCTTGATATCACGTTGAGAAGCAATCAAATCAGTACGCTTTTTGAATAAGTACATTTTTTAATGTTTTAGGAACTTTTAGAATTTGGCTTGTGTCTATGTAGCAATAGTGGTTTCTTTTATTTCATTTTTTATTTAATAAGGATATTCTTATATGCATATATATATATATATATATATATATATATATATATATATATTGATAGTTTCTTTTCCGAACAGTAAATCCAATAATAAAAAACAATTTGTTTTTTGAAGATGTTTAATACGACGTTTCGGAACTAGGTACGTTCCATCATCAGGTTTGTTCTGTCAAATACAATGTTTTTTAAAAATATTGATTAACATTAATTAATGATGGTCAATACAGATTAATTAGAAAAAAAATTATAAAGGAATGGATTATGTACCGGGGTAAAGAGTAATAAGAATTAACTAAAAAAGGTTTTATATAAAATTGAGAAGCAAAAATTATTTACCTTTGTCCTTTATTTGTCCTCTCTACAAATATCCTCGAAAAAAATCGAGTGTTTTTAACAAAAAAATATTAGTGATATGGATATATAAATTATTACAGGTAAATAATTTTTGCTTCTCAATTTTATATAAAACCTTTTTTAGTTAATTCTTATAACTCTTTACCCCGGTACATAATCCATTCCTTTATAAATTTTTTTTCTAATTAATCTGTATTGACCATCATTAATTAATGTTAATCAATATTTTTAGAAAACATTGTATTTGACAGAATAAACCTGATGATGGAACGTACCTAGTTCCGAAACGTCGTATTAAACATCTTCAAAAAACAAATTGTTTTTTATTATTGGATTTACTGTTCGGAAAAGGAACAATCAATATATTGAAAAAATCCAGGACTTATCTATTGAATATATATATATATATATATATATATATATATATATATATATATATATATATATATATACACATATATATATATATATATATATACATATGTAACAAAATGAGTTGTGATGTTATATATATATATATATATATCTATATATATATATATATATATATATATATATATGTATGTATAACATTTAAAATAATTGAGCATGATTATTGTGGTTTTTAATGGACAATGAAACAATGCTTTTGATGTTATAAAACAATATTTACTTGCACGTCACATACACAGAAAAATTATTCATTGACACACATATTACTTTTCAAATTGCACTTAAAGCTGTGCTTTAAGACAATATGCTATAAGTTTTGTTTGATTAATATGTATATTCTTCATTTTATAAATATATATTAGATGAATGAAGTCAATTAACAATCTGATATTTGAAATTTGCGGAAAATATAAAAATTTATTTTTGAATTTTAATTAAGTTAGATTTTGGTTAATCTAACGATATTTAATATTTCGTCAAATATCTGAACAAAATATGAAGGTTCTACTTTAAAGTTCAATTTGATTAGTCAAAGAACGAAATTTGTATATAGAAATGTAAATATTTCACGAAACTCAATATTTAGTACGAATTTTATGAAACGATTTATTTTTGAGTATCTGATGCTAATTTTGCGTTTCTTGTAGAACTAGGGACTTATTGTATTAGTTCAGTGATTGAGTTTGAGTTTCACTGATTATAATACTATAAAACAAATGTGGATAGGTGCTGCAACTATTTCTTTACCCAGCCAAGTACAAATAATTTTATACCTTTTATTCATTATTTCACAGTTAATCATTTTGCGATGTTACAACTTACCTCGTGTTTGGTACCGACAAGAAGTGACATCTACCGTGACAAGGAGTAACCACAAAAACGTCAGTAACATTGCTGATAATATATTCTTCACTCATTTTTAATAAAATTGAGTTGTTTTATGTACACAATAATTTTCGTTAATTAACGTAAACTAAAATTAATATAAATAAATTATACAGTATCTTCTGTGAAAAAACCTAACATAAATAAACACAATAACACTATCTGTAACACAATTTATATGTGTCTGCATCTTAAAAGTATACATTCCACCCAATTTTCTTCACTTGAATCTGAATAAGCTTTACTGAATACCAGACAAGAACATAATTGCATGTTGCAAATCCAATAATTTGTTACAAATAACCCCAGGTGATTTTTTAATCGATTTATATTAATCACAATTATCAATGATTGATAAATTGATAACAAAATAAGATATATAAAGTTTAAAATGAGTCGGTAACAATAATGTAACCATTGGTTACGAACCAATATTTTATGATAGTACAATTTTATATCACATACTAAAAATGGCGGACATACAAATTCGTATACGGCGTCGGTGTGCGAGACAGTAGGTGTGACATTATGCAGGATGGTTCACATGTCCAATCGAGACAAATTCATATTTTATTTTAGGTTAAGATTCTATTGAATAACACCGGTTACTCCTTACTCTTATTACAATAAGACCCTAGCCTCCCTACTTCAAAATGGCTGATAAGAACTACTAATAGATTTGTTTCAAACATATCAATTTTTTATATCAAAATATATAAAATGGGGTAATGCCACGATAAGTATTCTTATATATCGACATTATTTTAGTCGCCGTCTCTGGTCAGTTTCGATTCATTTTACTTTTCGCCTTCGGTCATGTTCCGAGTTAGTCTAGCCGGTTCCGAGTCTAGTCCGAATATAGTTCCAGTCTAGTCCAGTGTTGTTTAGAATCTAAACTTCAGATAGTTCTAATCAATATATTTTTCAGATTACAAGCAGTACTTTATAACAACTTAGGTACTTTCGCTCAAATTCTTTAATTTGTATTAATTTTGGTAAATTGACTCATTGAGTGCTTCTTTAAGTTTTTCTTTTTTTATTTAGAGTTGTATTATTTTTAGTTTTTTATTATTGAGGAAGAAGAACATTTGTTTACCAAAATATAGTCCATTGTGTAAGATTAAGCAACTCCGAGAGTCTGATTATTTCTAATCAAAGCCACATCACATTTTTGCCCCTTTATTCATATTCCCGATTGAGAGTTTCTCTAACTTAACGATTTTACTTTTAGAAACCAAGTACTAATTTTCGCAAGTACATAATTGTATTTATTGAACACCAATGTGAAGTTACTATATTATTTCATATTATATGTTCATAAACGAAAACTTTCATAAATATGCAGCCTTATTAGTCCTGAAATCAAACAGCTAATTTTCAAACGTGAAACATTTAGAGATCAATTCATAAAATTTACCGTCAATATTAATGAACTTAACGCATTAGAAAATCCCAGTTTCGTTCTGAATTATTCTGGCTTTTTTTCAGTGGTGCAATCATATGAAAAAATTAAATACGATGAAAAAACTATTTTTGTTAGAAAGAATTCTACTTATTTCATTATTAAAAATATAGATTTAATTATTACTTAAGTTTATTAAGAATAGTCTGCTCGAAGGCAGATCCATAGTATAAGAGCCACGACAAATCTTTGATTCTCTTTCTCTACCTTCTTTACTAATCCCATTTTCATTAAACAATTCAAACTTCTGCTTCCATGTTTCTTGATCCTGCGCTTTTTTTAGTTTTTTTTTATTTTCTCTTCTCATGTACGTCAGCATCTGCAATTTTCTTTTTTCAATCATTTTAATCCTTCTATTTTACCTTTCACTTCGTCGTGTAAAAGACTGTTTTTGCAGAACGGGTCCGATCCAGTTTCCTATTTACAAATTTTATGTATTTTTCGCTACAAACTTTTGCTTCCATGTTTCTTGATCCTGCGCTTCTTTTTAGGTTTTTTTATTTTCTCTTCTCATGTACGTCAGCATCTGCAATTTTCTTTTTTCAATCATTTTAGTCCTTCTACTTCACCTTTCACTTCGTCGTGTAAAAGACTCTTTTTGCAGAATGGGTCCGATCCAGTTTCCTATCATTTCGATGATTGTGCGCAGTAAAGTTCTTTCTTTGACCACTTTTCTCAGGATATATTTACCTATGTGTTATTTTATCTGTCCACTTTAACACTTCCATTAGCCTCCAACACCACATTTCAAAACCCACCAGATAGTTATTTCCGGCCTTTGTTAGAGTCCATGTCTCTAATCCGCATCGAGCTATACTACAGACATAGGATCTATATATATATATATATATATATATATATAATAAAATATAAATATATATATATATATATATATATATTATTTATTATATATATATATATATATATATATATATATATTTGTGTTCTAGAACCGTTTGAGTAAAGCTATCTTGATGAGAGCGCCAACGTGAAGTGCGGGAAAAGATTGAAGTGAATACATATATATATATATATATATATATATATATATATATATGTGTGTGGTGTGTGTGTGTGTTAGATGCTTAAATTTAACATTCACTCAGTATTTATCACATAGATTAAATACCTCAACTCTGGCTAACTGCAATCAAATTACACGTTAATATAATATATACATATACTAACAACAACCATTAATCTTACGTCAGGATCTATTTATTTCTAATTCG